AAATATTAACATGCTCAAGTAGCTCGCAGATAGAAGTTACAAATTATGGATGTATATTCAATATAATAGTTTTAAAACAAGAGAGGGTTCTTCACCGCTGACAGATATTATAGTGGTGAGTTGGGTAATACGCAGTAGGAGTATATATATAGAATTTGATGCACGTGAGTTTGCCATTTGTACGTTTATCTGAATGATGCCCATGTCAACACCTGGAGAGAAAAGGATTTCATCGATCGAGGCATTGTTCTACAGTATGAAATTGATTTGTCCTGCGTCACAGGTTCTTTTGTTATATAGACAGGTAATCTAGTGATCGAGTTCACATCACAGCAGAAATACATTAGACAGTAGGAGTAATTGGTGAGGGGCTGGTTGTGTGTTCACATTAGTTATTTTGTATGAACGAGATGGCAATTGAACTACACAGGCCAATTTTGTAAAGAATTGTAGAGTTTAATTAGGTTGCCTGAAATAGTTTCAAAGGATAGTTGACCTTTTTACGTACAAATTGAATGCCAGGGTATCGTGTTTAATAGAACCTGTTGTCAAGGAAAATTAAGTCAATGTTTCTGTGACGTTATGACTTTTAGAAGCGTAGAGCTGGAGATCTCTAGGCCGTAAACGGTATGATGAAGTGTTCTATTTTAACGATGTTCATGAACAAAATACAGGTCGGTATATCGACGCTGAAAAGTGATAGGGGTTAGGTGTAATGATATGCAGAAAGAAAACAAATGGCCATCGTTATCAAATCCTAAAATGGCAAAGACATTGTTTTTCATCAGAGGGAAGGAACTGCTTTTATTGACAAAAAGAACACAAGTGTACCCCCTTGGTAAGCTAAATGCGCTTGAGTTAATGCCCCGGAGGATGTTGGGAGGGAGTACACCCCGCGTTGTACTACAATGGTAATTGTTTGACCTATTCCGGCCAATGTTCATAGACATCACCTGTTTCTGTAAGGCTTCACCTGTTTGTGGCCAATTAACGTACCTCTACACAAAGGGTCAAAAGTTCATCAAATACCCTGGACATTCATGTTGCTGACACGCCATTGTGTTAGTGACTTTGGTGTATCTTGTCTTTTATTATTTGTTATATGTTCTGAAGTTGATTGCCATGATGTGAATCACGAAGGTCACATAATCAGTTGCATTGAAAACACATTCTGGCAATTTAAACCCCAGGTTATCTACGAACGAGGTCAAATGAACGGAATTTTCTCTTATTTCTTGCTATGAAGTGCTTATTTTATAAAATTGTTTTATAAAATTGTTTTATAAAATTCCCCTTCTCTATGCTGTTCTTTAAAACAACAAACCACAATCATATTTCTTTGCTCCTGTCTGAAGCCTTATTAGATATAAGTATGCAGTTTTTGTAACCAAAAAATGTTCATTCCAAACTTTTTCTTTCGCAATATCTTCTAGAATTCCTAGTGCCTCTAGAAAACATGTAATGATCCCGGTGTTACAGAATAGCATTTGAATTTGCAGGTGCTTGTATATATTTCTATCCACTGAGAATGATGTTAATGTCGAATAGAGCTAACCATTGTACGCGCTTACCCTAACGCAGATTGACGATAATGGCAGACAGTATTAGGCAGTTGGAGGTTAATACATCGCTATCATGATTTGTGTTTGTTTGTTATAATGAATAAAATTCCACCACATACAGGCACTGTTCTAAGTTGTTGCCATGGTTTTGTAAGACTTTATTTTTTTTTGTATTTGGACAGACGATGCTGACATACCCTCTTTTATGATACTTTTAGAAATCTCCACCTTTTTTCCGTATTGGGGCACGCGCTAAACGGTGATACTCGTGATTCATTTGTCAATGAAATATTTGAATCTGTGAGAATGTTGAGTAGTGTACCCTATCACATGTTCATGTTTGGACTATAACATTTTGTGTTGTGGTTTCGTCATTCTCATTATGACGTCACTGACTTCATTATTCAAGAACTTCGAAAACCAATGACATGAATATGAAATAATTTATCAAAGAATGATGATATAACTACTGCACTGACAAAACGAAAAGATTTATCAAGTTTGTCAGCAATTGGATTCAATTAGCTGTATGTGTTAAAGAACCGCCTTTAAATATTAATTGTCCGTATAACATCGGCCACGTGATGTGTCTGAACCAATCGGGTTCAGCATAACAAAACTGATGATGATAACCGTTGCATTAGATATTATAAAGGTGTACTTAATATTTATGTCTACAACAAGACCAGATACGGCAATTTTATGATTTTATTATTGTTTTACTACAAAACCCGTAGAGGTTGGTACTCTGGTGAATGTGTTCATAACTTGTTCTTAGGACGTTAACAGACAGATTTAATATACCCAACAGGGGTTTCCGCCATCTGGATATCATCCACTTTTCTCTAGAATGCCCGCCATTTCCTTTGTTGAAATTGAATTTCCTTTACAGCCACGTAACACTTATGAAAAAGGTGACTTTGGGACAAGTTTTTTTTGTATCATTATTAATTTTGTATCTATTGCCTGGTCAAATAAAACTTGTATTAACAGAATAATTTGAAAGGTCACCGCCTGATTTTAATCATGGATTTTGGTATATAATTTGATAACGGGATTTCTTTTTAAATAAATACGATACCAGATCTAATATAGCTAGATCTCATTTTGATTGAACCTGCCAGACCTTAGTACAGGGAATTCATTTAATTCTATATAACACTTTATCCCTTAGAAACATTTGGAATGGAAATACATAACCGTTTTGCATGTAACTTATGACGTAATCGTTAGGTACTATGAAACCGCCCGATAATCCTAACGTTGACTAGAAATCGCTGGTAATGTCATACAGAAATGTTTAGTGTAGTGTATTACCATTATCCTGAATAATACACTTATTGAACAGTAATTTTATTGAAATTGAGCTACATAAGAGTTAATTAGACTTGTTAAGCGAGTGGAAACATACTTTGACAATGTCGCAATATTGTGTAGTTTTTCTTGTGACGGTAATTGAATAATTGACGTTCAGTAAGCCGGGACGAAATAGTTTTAAACGCTCTTGTACTAAACCTGATGTCAGGAAGTATGATACAGAACGACCAGTAGACATTTCTTACCATTTCTTTTCATTCAGTTATCTTTTACATAAAAAGAAATATCTTTCTAACATTTAGCGCGAGAAAAACGAGTTAAAAAACAACACCATATCAGGAACAAAAATTATAAATTGAATGTTGAGGTTTTTTTTAGATATCCAGATAATCGTCTTGTTTTCGACAGAATGACCAATGAAACAAGTAGGTGATGTACATGTACAGCCTACACAGATGTATCGATCAGCAACATTGTAGCGTGCTTTATGGAAGGATTTGGTAAAGAAGACGATTTGTGTCTTGTTTAAACCGAAATTGCCGATATGTACAATGCACGAACCTTATGCTGGCAAATATAGACGCGTGCTGGCTGAGAACGAATTCTAGCGACTGTCTTGGTAACCCGGCTCGATCAAAACAGACACATTTAAGGTATAATTTGTGTTAATTCACTCATAAAGACAGTTCAATTGCTGTTTTTCATCGCCGGAGTGTATTTTTGCGATAAAAACAAGAAACGTCCTTCCATCTAACGGTCAAGCTTGCACGCGACCGCACGCGACAAATGACCAGGGCAATAGTTGAGACGCTGTATGTTACGACCAGCTGTCAACCATTTAGCCCGAAATAAAGACTCCGTGATTTTGCCCTGAAACAAAATCAATTTTATCGATTCGGTCGTATAACAGACTCTTTCCATTCGCAAGCTTAATATAAAGACCAAATATCGATTGTAGACTTAAGAGTAACGCTCACAAATGAGCGCCGACTTACTGGGTCTAATGAATCTAGAGTGAAATCGAAAAATCAGCTTAGCCAAACTATGTATATAAAGTGATCTCCACGGTATTAAATGATGCTTAAGTGGGGTATTTTGGATTCATTGACTGATTTATAGGACTTTAAAGAAACAGATAAATCAAGGAAGCAAATGCTTTAAGCAAACAAAGGAGCTGCCGTAACTACAATTTTACAAAATCTCCATTTCTGTTTGTAAAGAAAATGCAAATGGTATTTAAACTCGTTTAAAATAAAAACAAACCGGATTTGGAATAAGACTGGGTCGACGTTTGACGTGAGGAAATTACATTTCGCTGTTTGTTGAATTTTATACTTTCGCCAATGTCTTGAATTGACAGTACGGCTTAGTGTGGAGCGATTCCATCATGAATTCATTACAATGAGTTTAATGGTGCCACAACCAGCTCTTAGGAGTTCTAATGAAATAAAGTACCGTTTTTCAACGAGAAAAAAACTAAACCATTACGACAATGTGGCTAAAAACGAGCCAGGATAGGAAAAACGTTCTCACGCAGTCCAAACCCCACCTCCCGTTGTTTTATAAGATATACGCCCATAGTATTGAGCGGAAAACCTTTTTTTTGCAATGCGCAGATTTTTACCTAATTTCATGTCTTTCATAGAAGAAAATGTTGGAAGCTATTGCGGGTGGCAATTCAATAAAATATCTGCTATTTCAGTTTGCTACTTAGATAAATGATACATTTGAATTTTAAGATCTTCCGCCCGAAAACTTTTCAAACCGAAACACAAACACATATATACTTCAGAATGAATGTCCTCTCCATGCTTAATTAAACCGTATACCTGTATGACTATTGGACTCAAATACAAATAACATATTCAGTTCAGTGTAAACCTGCTTATTGTATTTGTCTCTCGCAGTAAACATTTTAAGGGGCCAAGTTGTTAGATTTCAATTTTTTGTACGTTTTTGCAAACTTTGAAATATTATGATTAAATGAAAGTGCATAACGTTTAAGAGATATTTAGATATTATAAGTTTTTTTTATCAATTGTGAAATGAAAATCTAATCATTTAGTCCCTTTAAGGAATTTAATGGGAAACAAACTTAATATTATTTTCTTTATTTTGCAGTTTGTTGAAAAGAGAATACGTGAAGAAGTTGCTAAAGGTAAGTCCTGCCTTTTTTCACAAGTACCGTTTGATATCCTCTGTCTCGAAATCTGGATGGCGTTCCGTATTTTTTCCAGCTTTCCGTATCTCGAAAGCGAGAAGTCGCCATATGTTTGGTTTCCCTTGTCTCAAAACGAAATCTGGAGAGAGCAAATTTAAGCATTAAATAACACATAATCGAGATTTCGACAGTGCCAAGCTCAGTGTCCCGGGATATCAATACAGTCACGATTGTTTTGTAACTCGAAATCGAGATAGCAGCGGTGGCATGTTGAAATATTCTCTATTTTTGAAATAGAGATAGTGGTGGTAAGTCATGTTTAATATCCAACCCTGGTAGGACAGTAGTACAGTGTTATCAGAGATGGGGATGTTATGGTCAGTGATTCAGGATAAGTTATGTTTGAGTAAGAATGTTGTCGGAGACACTTTGATCAGCGAGCCCTTTTGTTGTCGCTTGTATTCTAGCAAATAATTGGTCAGTGAATACGTAGAGATCATTATTACCTATGATGTCTTGTAGTATCTTACTAAAACAAATCGGCGTTGCAATGCTCTCTCTATGTAACTGTTAAAACGAGGTTCGAACTCAAAGAGGGGAGACGAGCGTGTTGAGAATCTCAATGTTTTTTTTCGTCTTTGAGCTTATGTGATTGGAGTATGACATGGGAGAGAATACCTGTTGATTAAGTAGTACATTTAACTAAAATATTCCCTAAGTCGAGATTATTTAGCAGTTGTATATAAATACCAGTATTGTGGCCGATCCCACAAAGGTTAGGGACGAGAGTTCATAACAATATAGATAAACTGTAGATCTACATTTATATCACATATATCTGGTTGTTATATAAACAGACTGTGTCCGCTATGGCAAAAAGGCATTGAGGATAAGCAGAGAAGGGGCGTTCTGGCACTGGCTCGTGCATTGTTAAGCATCATCGTGAGAGATCAGATAAAGCGTAGTCAGGACCTAGATGATTGCACAATGGGGTCTCGTCTTTTCGCGTTTTTTCTCGGGCTGTAAAACGCAATACATGACTGATTTGTCAGAATTGTTGCATGTAATAATATCAACGGAGATAGGTGAAGATAGCGGGCGCCCGCATTGCCTGGCAAGAGATAATCCCAGGCGTTTTGTTCAAACAGCACAACATTAATCGTTACACCATCCATCATATCACCCGTGGATATATAGATACATGTGTTAGTTGTTGGAATTTTTATATTTCCGTTTTCTTTATGCGAATATTACATAATTTACACAATTTTATTCAATCTGATACCATCATGACGGCTGTTGTGTCATTAAGACGCTAGTGCTGTGTCTAAAAAGATAATGATAAAAAGAGTACGTTGGATTTGTATAGTTTTATATTAGAGTAGATGCTGGAAACAAATTTAAAATGACAATGTTGTAATAATAAGATTTCTTAAACGAGAACAAAGAACAGATATGCTTGATAGCAAGCAAACAATATCAAAACTGTAGGAAATTTAAACAAAATCGTCATCTTAGAGTACTTAGAGATTATTAATCTGATTAACGATAAAAGGATTTAGATACGGATCCGTGAATAAAATTCTATTGCGGATACATATTTGACCGAGAAACTTTATTTAATTCTGTAATAAACATATATTATCAAGCTACTGCAGAAAATAAACGTAATTTAAACCAATAAACAAACTAAAATACCTTAATGAAAATCCATCCACGTCAAATTTCCGGTTATAAAATTGTTATATTACATCGAAGAAAGTCGATGAAATTTATGACTACTGAATGAGATATATCACAGATTCCAGAATCTCCGCTAAAACATATCAACCTGTCTAAGGGGATGGCGATTACAACGGACATATCTTTGTAATTCTATTTTATTTTACATATAGTCGGAAGTGCAAGCTCAAATTAATGGTGTACCTGGCACTTTGCCAAGAGGGACAACAGTTATGTTAACTCGTGCTAAAGGGATACCATTTGATCCACTAAGAGAATTTATATGACAGGCTTGTGGCAGTTTAAGCTCCAGTCTTTGTAACTTTAACCAATGTCTGACAGCATGTTTAAGTGTACAAACCATTCCCGTGAATGTTCGCACCGTTTATTTTCATTTTGTAACATGTCAGTGTATTAATTTCACGAAATTCGATACACAACTGTCAAGATATTGGTTTGGCAATTTTGATTAAATATTGAAAATTTTAGTGGTACTTGACACTATATCATGATGTTTACGGCACGCATTTTCTCTCTTTCAACCGGCTAACTACATGTAATGTACAAAAAAACACACACTCATAAATATCTGTAGTTACCAGTCCAAAGAAAAATAATAATTGAATTTAAAATAAATCTAAATTTACATTTTATGACAAACTTTTAAAAGCCTGGCGTACCGGATTTCATTGTAGTTCTGTCTTGACAGAGAGGACATTAGCGCTGTTGTACCAGGCATTTGTGCACTGGCAGTTGTGACGTCATCAAAAGTCGCTATTGTCTTGGTGAAGGATATGCTATGTAGAGAAGAAGCGTGTAAGATTAAGATCAAACATTCGTGCTAATTTCAAATGGACTCGCCCATTATCCGTTTGATATGAAATTGATAATGAAGATACATATTTTTTATGAACAGCGGTAGTCATTTGACTGCATGTTTCTGATTTGCTATATGTTTCAAGTATTCCGAATCAATTGCATCAATTGGAGCTATATTTAGCAGAATATAAGGAGACAAGATCTTACGATCCGAGGGCTTAAAAAGGATCTGACCATTTTTATCACTAGCCCTTCACCTCTAGGTCGCGGATTCGATGCCAACAAGGGGCAGACTTAAGATACTGACCGCAGGTTTTTCTCCAGGAGCACCGGCTCCACCACCAAAACCTGCCACGACCTTAAATGACCGTGGCTATTAAAAGGACGCAAAACCCGATTCATTGTAGGTCTTAGTCTATTTAACAGACGAAATAGCCGACCTGACAACTCTTCATTATGTCCTAGAGTATTTTGTTGTGGAGAGAAATCGGTAAGAGACACCATTCCATTGCGGTGGGAAATGAAGGAGTCGAGCGTTGACTAAAGCTTTGGCTTCAGAGCTGGCGGTCGGCAAAAATCCGTTTCTGGACCTGTCATTGGACCGGAAGTCCATTTCTAGAGTTGATGATCTTGCAAAATCTAATTGCAGAGTTAACGGTTTTCAAAATATAGTCTATCACTAGATAAAAGGTCCGATTCAACGTTGTAGACCTTAGGGTCGACAGGTTGTCCTGTAGCAAAGTTAACGGCCAGTCAGGGATCAAGCTGGCAGATTCTTTTCAGGGTCAAGTTGAAAATTGCCAGAACCTTTTATGAGAAACGTCTTTGTCTTAATTTTTATCCGCTGTAGGAAGGCTATGCCGTGTGCATTTAGAAGCATTTCTCCTGTCTAGTAATGAGAATGGAGATGAACCGTTGTTTATACAAGATCCGTGTTAAGGCTATCACTACGGAGCGCCTGACAATTCTCCAGGAGAACGAAAACAAACTTAATGTATAACAGATATACAACAGTCGACTTGTGTTACAAATCAATAAGGGATGTTTATATATACGGGTCTAACAAACAACGGACTATTTATAGTTGTTAAATTTCTTCAGTCCACTCTCTCTCAATGACATCTTCCTTTTTTACAATTGTTTTTACTTTATTCTTCTTTTCTTTCTCTCCCTTACCTTATTGATTGAATCTGCTTTAAAACAGTCTGCTTCAGAATCACAACAAACCACACATGTATACGCCAAACGTATCACACTTGATAAAGCAAATCAAATGACACGTGAGCTTACCAAACACACGTGTAGTTAGTATCTATCCATTCTCTAAACACACGGGTAATATAATGTCCTTGTCTGCCTACTCAACGTAAAATAATACCAGAACAGAGTTATTCGATCTTTGGAGATATCTACATCAGAAAAATGTCTATCAAAAGAGTTCCATTCGGATTTTGAACACATATATAATAAATCATTTACTGATCTCCATTCTAACGTTGAGCTAAAAATATTCTATGTTTATTAATTGTGACTCCTGAAGTCGCTCATACGGGCGACCTTATGTTTCCAACAGAAAATATAATTACAGAAGTCCTCTTCTTTAAAGCATTAGCGATAAGGCTACCTAAATACAGCGTTTTGTTGACATTGGAACAGACGGACTGAGATGAATATTGCAGTAGGAGCTGGCTCCTTCATCGGAATTTTATGAGCTCGTTTTAAGACGGGGCGACTTTCTTTAAATAACAGCATGTCGTAAACTGCCCATGGTAACTAGCAAAGGACAATGTCCCTGAAAGTTTCATTGGGAAGTATGTTACAAATTCGGCAAAATTGAATTGCCTGTCTTGCAATTTTATGTTGCTCTAGCTTTTAATATTCTCAATCTTACAAACATTGTGATATAGAATACAGCTTAAAAAGCCGAATGTTGTGGGAAATGGGCACATCATCCTCTGGAAATAAATCTTATGTCTCCCTAGCCTTTTATATTCTTAATCGTAGAAACTATATGATATACAAAACGATTTTAACAGCCGAATGATTTGGGAAATGAGGATACTTGCTTCTAAAAATAAACAATAGTGTGGTGTAAGTGTCTATTTCTACAACAAACTCACTGTGATACGAGACTTTTCTAGAGAGGCGTGATATTTGTAAAGAGCATTTCCCGGAAAGTAACTCTACATACACAATAAAGATGAAGAGGATGTTTTGGACGATATTGTTTCCAAATACTGACTGGACAACAGATTTAGAGCCCCGAAATAGTTTTCCGAGCCCCTCCCTGTATGAATCTTTCACATTTTCTTGAAACATTGCTTGCCGCTAACATTTCAACGTGTACAGAAAATTCTGACAGTAAATATAGATACTGTAAACAAAATCAACATTTCTGATGTGTTTCCTCGTTTAAGTCATCAGAGTTTAAACAAACCATAATAGATCGATAAACA